CCCAGAAAGATTCTGTGCCTTGCTCTGGGGGGTTGGATCTGCAAATGAGGCAGTGGGATAAAGTCTGGAGGCTGATTCAGGGCAGCAATGGGTTCAATTAAGGATTGTTCTAACACAGAAGATTGGAGCTACATAGGATGGGTGGCCTAACAGGCCTGTTTTCTTGGGGTCAATGTAGGATTGTTCCCTATAGTCTGCTTTCTGTCCCTTTGTTCACTCTGGTTTTAAAAGCCATAAAGTCAGTCAGGAAGAGCTGAGACTAGAAGTGTAAATGCGGAAGAGGCTGAGAGGAAGGAGGACTCAGCAGACTTGAGAGACATGGGCTTAATTTCTGGCTCCACCACAAATTTCTTGTGTGACCATGTGCCAGTCTTAGTCTCTCTGTGCCAGATTTTTACAGGTACTTGGGCACTAAAGATACAGATAGATATGTAGTGGAATGTTCAGAAACATGTAGGTTCCTAACACCTACTGATTTCATTCTGTGTCTTTAGGTGCCCACAGACATTTTAAAAACTGGCCCAATGCCTCAATTCTTTAGCTGTAAAATTTGGAGAATAGCAGTGCCCTACATCACCAGGAAGAGATTGTGAGGTGGCGCCATGTAAGACTGACCTTCATTTGGTTATATTCATGGCTCTGCCACTTGCTGGTGACCTGAGGGTAGTCATTTGCCACTCTGTGCCTCAGTTTCCCCATCTATACAATGGGGATGATATTGACTTCGCAGGGCGGATGAGAATTAATATTTGTAAAGCACTTGGCATTGGATTGTTGGAGCCTAAGGGGGGGTAAGGTACCTAACTTCCTTAGGGTCCTCTGAAAGCCTCACTGTTCAACATTTTTGGAAGGAAGGATCTAGAGAAGGACAAACAATTGTCAGGGACTTGAACCCCAGACGGCACGGTTCGTTGTCTGACCGCAGAGAGACAGGCAACACCAGCAAAGTCCAAGTATAAGCTCTTCATTGAAGAGTGCACACAACAATAGAGAGCAGCCCATCTCCAAAGAGAACCAGCTACCTCTTAGGCAAAACTAATAGGTTTTTATAGACAGGTCCGTCGTGGCACAGATTATTCATGAAATAGCCCAAACTCCGCTCCCCTTTGTTAGTTAAAAGTTCTTTATCATGCACGCATACCTATCCCCTATTGTATATAGCTTTTTGCAAGTCGTTATGCCTCCCCAACTTTCTTATCAATCCAGTTGTCAAACAGGGGACAAGGAGTTAAGAGCATACATGAAACAGAAACAGGGAGTGGAGACAGTGTGTCTCCTTCTCATTCTCAGAACATCTGGCGCGATAATGCAGGTCTCCTCCTTAATTCACTCCTTGCAACTTAACAAGCATTCTTTCATCCTGCCTATCTCATTCAGGAACTTTCCTAGCATTCCTGCATTGGCCTAACTTTGGTTCGGTTGACATAACTGCTTCGTGTTAAAATTTTCCTAACACCCCTCATTACTGTATTAATTTTAGAGAGTGTAGCTTCTGCATTATTGGGACTTGCTGCTGCTTACCCCTAAAGGTGGGAATATCCTGTTGTAGAAGCTTTTACACTCTTGTCTCTAATGTAACCTCTTTTCTGACATAGCTGTGGTGGAGTTGCCAGGTTTTGGTCTGTGTATCCTAAACCACTGTTTGTATCCCTTCATTTTAGGCTGAAAATTGAACTGTTGAGCTGGGAGGAAACAATTGCTTTGGACCAGTGCCATGTTCCAGATACGGGGAGCAATGAGCTGGTATGAGATAGGCTTTTTACAGAGGAAGGGAAATCCCTTTCCCAGGGAACTAAACTCAACATAACAGCAAAACTGTCGAAATCTAGGGGCAACTATAGTGGGTTAGGACAGGGGGGCTGGGAGTCAGAACCCCAGAAGTCTATTCCCAACTCTGGGGGAGTGTGAACTAGTGGTTAGAGCAGGGGTGGCCAACCTGAGCCTGAGAAGGAGCCAGAATTTACCAGTGTACATTGCCAAAGAGCCACAGTAATAGGTCAGCAGTCCCCCATCAGCCCCCCCCCCCTACTCCCTGCTCGGGCCTCCCAACCACTGGCAGCCCTGCAGCGCCTGCCTCTCCTCTTCCTCCTCCCCCCCCCCAGCCAAATCAGCTGTTTCATGGCATGCAGGAAGCTCTGGGGGGGGAGGGAGGAGGAGCCAGGGCACGGCAGGCTCGGGAAGGGGTGGAGTCGGGACAGGGCCTGTGGCAGAGCCAGGGGTTGAGCAGTGAGCACCCCCAAACATGCTGGAAAGTTGGCGCCTGTAGCTCCAGCCCTAGAGTCTGTGCCTATACAAGGAGCCGCATATTAACTTCTGAAGAGCCGCATCTGGCTCCCGAGCCTCAGATTGGCCACCCCTGGGTGAGAGCAAGGAAGTCCAGTCTAGCTGTAGAGAAGGGGGACTGGGAGTCCTGGGTTTTATTTGCCTACCTCTCTTTAAGGGCTGTACCAAGACTATAATTTCCAACCTGGAGAGAGGATTCCAGAGTATTCCTGTTAGGTAGATCAGGGCAGGATTAGGCCTGTGTCACAGAGTCCCTGGGCGATGCTCTGGAACTGCTCCCTACAAAGCCAGTCAGGACTCTGGCGGAGCCTCCTCTCTCTGAGCATACTGTCTCCAGGGCAAGAAGCTTACACAGCTTCAACTTTCCTGGGTCTGACCTAGGAGCATTCAGCATCCCCTTCCACAGCATGTGCTTCCCGCAGCGAGTCCGCCAGGCGGGGCTCCTGGGAAAACCAGAGGGCCCTGCACCCCAACTCCGCAGTCAGACATGACTCTCAGCCAGCCGGTAACACAGAAGGTTTATTCATCGACAGGAACACAGCGTAGAACAGAACTTGTTAGCGCACAAATCAATGACTTTCAGCCAAGTCCATCTCCTGTGCCCCAAGCCAGCAGAGAGCAACTAGCTTCCAGCTGCCTGGCCCCTGCACTGCCCATTGCTCCTCCTCCAGCCTTTGTCTCCTTCCCAGTCCAAGAGTCACCTGGTCGCATCCCCCTCCTGGGTCTCAGGTTATGAAGGGGTGGCCATAGCATCCGTGCAGGCAGCTGGAGCAACCCCCACAAAAGTCTCACATGCTTATACCCACCACCTAGACATGGGTGCAATACAAAGGGAAAGTGAGGCGCGCACAGCATTCATGCAAAACAGTAAGACTCACATACAACATAACAAGGGGAAATCTCCACTTCATCACAGCCTGCCAGACTGTCTCCCTTCCCCCAATTAGTGCAGGCTGAGCCGTGTCAAATCTTCAGTTCTGGCCTTTGGATTGTAGCAGATGTTTTTCAGCTCTGACTTTATACAAGTGTCTGTTACGAGTTGTGTTGACGGATCCAGCATTCAGCTACGATCATGGAGTGTAGTAGGAATGACTTGTGGCTTTTGGGCCTTGCTAACCTACTAGCCTGTGCGAGTCTCCAGGCCTTCACACTGGTGTTGCCTTAGTGATGTAAACATCAGGTTTTAAATCCTCAGTGTCCAGGATTGGTTCATCTCTTTCCCCTTCCACTGCAGATAAATTAACGCTATTGGTCTGAAGCTGTTCAGGTCTCTTGCTTGAGGCCTTAACAAAATTTGAGATCCTGTCTGCTCACTGTGGACATTAAAAGGGCCATGGGATCTTTTGTTAGCATAGGTGCATAGGGAGCTTGGCCAGTTGTCTGCTAAAAAAGGATTCTCAACCTTTTTTTTTTTTTTGAGGTCCCCACAACATGTTATAAAAACTCCAGGGCCCAGCAGGGGTTGGGGGGGCTGGGCTTCAGTGGAGCGGGAGTGGCTTCTGCCCAACAGGGTGTTAGCTCTGTGGGGCTTGAGGCTCCGAGTTTTCTGTCCTGGGCCCCAGCCAGCCTAGTGCCAGCCCTGCTTAATGGACCAGCCGCGCGCCCCCAGTTGAGAACCACTGTGCTAAAATATTCCCCTCCCTTCTCCTGTTGCACTTTGCTCTGACTGTCTCTCTTCACCCTAGAAGTGACTTCGTTTTAGTCCTGCTGTCTTCTCCTCCATGTACAGTGCTAGCTCTTCCTGCCTAGATGTGCCCAGGTAGAACTGGCCTGTGGTGTGCTGGGGAATTCAGTTTAGATGGGTCCAGAAGCAACTCTGATCTCTGGTATAGCTGCAGCAGCAGGGCAGAGGAAGAGGCTTTGTGGATCATGGTCTTATGAATGTTTCTTTGCCTGTTTCAGGTGGTGGAGAGGCTGGAGACTGACACCCCAACCCCACGAAACGATTGGGGCTGAAGTGGACAAATGAAGTTACTGAATCTTGAAAATGGGCTGAAATGAAACACCCCGGAACTGAGCACCCAGGATGGTTGGGTAAGGGTCTCCCTCTGAGTAGGGACTTAAAGACTGAGTGCTTTTACAGCCTACATGAGCTGAGATAAGGATAATCAGCTCCTGTGCTTTCAGGGTTTGCTCTGATCTCTGTGGGGGTTAGTGAGGAGTAGCCAGAGGTGTGTTGCTGGAGGCAGGATACTTGACTTGTTTTATTATTAGTTATATTACACTGTTTCCTAGAGGCCCTACTGTGTTGGGGGTTCTAGAGACACTTACAGACCATCCCTGTCCCAAAGATTTTTGTTGGCTTTGTCTGCTTAGGTTATAAAGGATGGAAGATAGGAAGTATCAGCATTACAGATGGGGAACTGAGGTACAGAGAGCTGACGGCTGAGATTTTTCAAAGGAGCCCAGTGGAGTTAGGCACCAAAATCAGAGATTTAAAAGGACTTGTTTGAGGTTCCCAGGGAGTCTGTGGCGGAGCTGAGAACTGATCCCAGATGTCCTAGTCCAGAACTTTAACCACACAACTATCTTGAGAGTGGGTGTTGAGGGCCGGCTCTCCCCTCAAGGCATTTCTTCTCGGACCCATGAGACCGCTCTGTGCTTTGCCATTGGTGGTGTCACAGCTGGGTTTGAGGGCATGGGTGGAGTCTGCCATGAGTATGTTAAGTCCATCTTTCACCTGATGACACGTGCCCTGAACAGACCCAACTACATCAAGGATGGAGAGAAGCATTAATTCCCTCTCCCATTTTGTGCCTGCAATGAAATCTAGTAGATGGGGGTCAATATTTAAGGCCAGGAGGGAACATTATGACTATCTAGACTGACTTCCTGCATCGCAGGGGGCATAGAAAGTCACCTAGTAATTCCACTATGACTCCCTGACTCCTTCCCATTTCTAAAACTCAACCATTAGCCCCCCGTCTCCACGTATGCTGCTTTAAAATAGTTCCCTGCATGAGCCCTTCTCACCCCACTGCGTCTCGAGTTAACTTCACTGCGCCATTTCCCTGGCTGGAACGGCTATGCCCTTAGAAGCTGCTCGTATGGCCTTATTGAAAAGCCAGATCTTCATAGGCCAGATGGAACCTCTAGATTGCCTAGTCTGATCTCCAGTTTAATACCAGCTGGAGAATTTCACCTAGCAATCCCACTGATTGTGTTTGCGTAAAGCATCCCTCCTAGAAAGGTATCCGTCTCCAATTTTTCAGCGTCCGTATTAAAATTGGGACACCAGAACTGGATGCGGTATTCCAGTATTAGACTCACCAGTGCCATATACATGGGTAAAATCACCTCCCTGCTTCTACTGGATACTCCCCTGTTTATGCATGCAGGGATTTTATCCGTCTTCTTTTTGTAGGTAGAGTTGGGGAGCTCATGTTGGAACACGAGGAAGTTGGGTGAGGAAGCAGCTAAAATTCTCAACCACTTGAGGTTTCAGAGTCCTGGGTGGAGGTTTGTGTGTGGGAGGGGCAACCACATCGCCACTTGTAGGACTAGGAGGGGTCTGCTGTGATGAACCGCATGTTCAGTCCGTGTTTCACCTGATCTACCCTGATTGTACACATGCCCTGAGCAGACTAATGAAACAAACACCTGCAGCTGACATCTGATTTGGGGGAAAGCTGATGTTCTAATGGTCTCCAATGGATAAAGTCCCAGGCAGTGAGAAGAATAAGTAGCAGATCCATGCAAACTCTTCAGAAACATGGATCTGGTTTTTGTGCAAATGAAGGAGGGGCATAGATGCAAGGAAAAGTTTTCCATGCAGTTGGTAGCTCTTCCCCCTCCCCCTTCTTCTCTCTCTCTCTCTCCGTTGACCTGGAAACATTTCCTCCTTGTATCTGTAGGGGCAGGAACTCTGAAAACAAAATTGGCTGGTTTCTCTTCTCCCTCCTCGCTCTGGATCCCTTATAGGAATCACAGATGTAAGTGCTGTTGGAAGTTCGTATCCATCCAGTTGGTTAGCATGGCCCCATATTGGCACCCCCGCCAATGTCACCATGGGGGCAGGTATGGGGCAAGAAAGAGGTACTGTGGCAGACACGGCAGTTAACAAATGTCCCGCATAGAGTATAACATGCGTTCCGCATTCAGTGACAGTCTTTGAACTAAAAAGAAAAGGAGTACTTGTGGCACCTTAGAGATATAAATAAATACATTTTGTTAGTCTCTAAAGTGCCACAAGTACTCCTTTTCTTTTTTGCGGATACAGACTAACATGGCTGCTACTCTGAAACCAGTCTCTGAACTGATCTTCCAAACATTGCCAGGCCGTCTTTCAGTACCTGAAGCTGCAGATGCTTTCAGAAAGCTGTATCTTTCTGCACACATGAACAGGAACTCCTTTCTGCAGGATTTTAGTAAGGAAACTGCTTAGTAAAGGTTTGCTCTTTAGAGAAATTCATGGTGTATCTCTCTAGAGAATCCTGTTGCTTTCAGAGCTGCTCATTTAAGGGAGAGTGGCCGCGATGACTGTTCCTCTTGCTGCCATGAGCCATGGGCAGTGGGATTTTGTGTCATCGCAGATGAAACTTGGCCTTTCTTCACTCAGAGTGCTCTTGGATGGGTTTGGCCGTCCGTTGGCACCTTCTGAATTTTGCGGGGTCAGACACTCAAAGAGGCAGAAGGGGACTGGACTTTTAGGGAAAGAAATGGGGTTGAAAAACCACCTGCTCTGTACCTATTTCTCTGTAAACTTTAGGCAGTTGGCTACGGTAACCAGACTGTAAAATTACTATGTGAGCTGAAAGATTGCCTGAGCTGAAGCAGTAGGAGCTATGCTGGCCTCAGCTGGGAGGAGTTAGTACAGTTAAGCTATCTAGTTTTCTAAGAGGCAGTTGTGTGCTGCATTCTGCATCTTTAATACTGAGATTCCTTATCTTTACAGGGATGATTTGAGATGAACCTTCAAGGAAAATGTATCTTTCTCTCCACCAGCATCAACTGTAAGAGAGAATTTGGGGCCTGAAGATTAAAAGATTTGCCCTGTCTCTGATCTGTATTACAAGGACTCTTTGAAGTTATGTCCAGGAAAGGCTGTACTAAAACCAGGATAATTAAACTAGAATGGATGTGTAAGAGTTGGGTATTTTTTGTACAAACGGACAGTGGTAGAACTGAGGGGGAAATGGAGCTTTCTCAACTCTAATCCACTGGTCTGAATTCAGCCCAGGTCAGTCGTGGCTGTGGTTGGGATTTTCACAGGAGGCTTAAGGGAGTTAGATGATATGCTGTTTTAGGCACCTTTTGAAAATCCCATCCCTAATCCATTGCTATCTGAAGGCTTTTCAGTTGCCCTTTCTGTAAAGTGAGTTAGGGTTTGACCTCATGTCTGAGATACAATGTCTGCCCAGATATTTTTAAAGTTCCTAGTCATTGTAATATCCATGGGCTTGTACAAAATTGAGGATCCGGATGATTATCAACATCGGTCTATTTACTGCTGGGTCCAAAATTACTTTCCACTCTTCTGTGAATTTACTCTCCCGTGTCCACTGTCTGTTTTCTACTACCAACACCGTTTAGGTTACGCTGAGATTTTCAAATGTGCTCAGGATTTGGACACTCGGTTCCCATTCAAAAAATTAATGGGAATTTAACAGGCAAATGCCATAGATTTGAAAATCCTTAACTTAAGCGTATTTAAACTATGTCTCCCTCACCCTGTAGGTGCAGACTCGTCTGACACTAGCTCAGACCCTTATTTTGTGCTCCCAATGTTGGCTTCCTCTATCATTCTCTTTTCTCTCCGCCCCAAATAAACAGATGTAGATCCTTTCCCACTGAGTGGGCAGCCACCACTGCAGGTCTTCTACATATTACAGTTCTTGTGCTGAACAGCTGGGAGGCAGTGAGAGAGATGGAGTTGAATGCTAGGGCTGTGTGAACTGAATTCAGCAACGTGTGGTTTTGAGTTTAGACGGTCCTGGGTTATATGGGACTCTGAACTCTGGAGTACAGATGTGGGGATCTGCATGCATGATACCCCCTAAGCTTATTTTTACCAGTTTAGGTTAAAAACTTTCCCAAGGCACAAATTCCACCTTGTCCTTGAACAGTATGCTGCCACCACCAAGTGATTTATACTATCAGGGAAAGGACCACTTGGAGTTCCTCTTCCCCCAAAATATCCCCCCAAACGCTTACACCCCCTTTCCTGCGGAGGCTTGAGAATAATATCCTAACCAATTGGTTACAAAGTGAACACAGACCCAAATTCCTGAATCTTTGGACACTGAAATAAAATCAATCAGTTCTTAAAAGAAGAATTTTATTTTTTAAAAAAGAAAAGGTAAAAATCCCCTCTGTAAAATCAGGTTAGAAGATAACTGTACAGGGTAACAAAAGATGCAGAAAACACAGATGAACCCCCTCTAGCCTTAGTTTCAAAGTTACAACAAAACAGGGATAAACCTCCCTCGAGGAAAGGGAAAATTCACAAGTTGAGAAAACAAAGATAAACTAATTCGCCTTGCCTGGCTGTACTTCCAATTTCTGTAATATGAGAGACTGGTTAAGAATGGTTTGGAGGACATGGATTGATGCCCCGTCCCTCTTAGTCCCAAGAGCGAACGAACACAGAAACAAAGAACCCAAAACAAAGCCTCTCCTCCCGCCCCCAGATTTGAAAGTATCTTTTGTCCCCATTGGTTCCTTTGGTCAGGTGCCAACCAGGTTATTTGAGCTTCTTAACCCCTTACAGGTAAGGAGGAATTTTAGGCTATCCTTATGGTTATGACACCCCATAACAATGTCCCTGTCTAATTTGTGTGTCCTACCAACAGAATTTAACATTTGGCACCCTGAATAGCACACAGCCCACAGTATTGGGAGGAAGGGAGAAGAACTGGGAGTGCACAGAATCTAGGGAGCAGCTGCTGGCATCGTGGGAGGTGCAGGGAGCCCCTGAATTAGAGGGAGATGGGAGGGTGGCATACAGGGTGCTCATGGAGAAATGCAGAGTCCCTGATGTGTACAATAAGCTCAGCCTACAGAAGCAATGAAATGTGCAAACCAGCAAGTTAAATCCAAATTAACAAAATAGTCCAATATAACAGCATCGAACCCTCCAAACCAGATGGTAAGGTTTGCAGTTATCAGGTTGTGTGGCTGATTGAATCCACGTGGAGTTATTTTATGACCTGGTCATTTTTGGGGCAGGGAATGGGGGAGGTGAGACCAGGACAAATGGGGATGTCTTATAGCATCCTGGGAAATTGAATCTGAAATCACCCGCTGTCACATGTTCAAACCTGGCCCTTTCCAGAAGCAGCAGCTCCATCCAAAAGTTGGAGGCAGGGTCCCATTGTTTCATGTTCTCTATGTATATAAATCTCCCCACTGTATTTTCCACTGAATACATCCGATGAAGTGAGCTGTAGCTCACGAAAGCTTATGCTCAAATAAATTTGTTAGTCTCTAAGGTGCCACAAGTCCTCCTTTTCTTTTTGCGAATGCAGACTAACACGGCTGCTACTCTGAAACCTGTCAATAAAGAAATGGTTGCTCATGTATTGCCCATATCATGCAGAAGAGCACCATTTTGACATGGCTCTTAGTAGGATCCTATAGGTGCTGTTTTGATGGTTGAGAGGGCAGTGTGTGGCTGGGTGCCATTTTGATAAGGTTTTTATGGGGGACCATGGATGCAGTTTTGATGTGGGTTCGGGGGGGCGCTCTGTGTGAGTGCTATTTTGATATGCATTTCGGCTCTGTGTGCCATTTTGATGTGGGTTAGGGAGCGGATGTATGTGTGCTGTTTTCACTGGGATCCCATTTTGATGTGGGTCAGGAGCTGGCATGTGGTGCCCTGTTGACGTGGAATGGGGAGTAGGTGTGGGGGGCCATTTACACTGGGAACCCATGGGTGCCATTTTCATGTGGATGACGAGTGGGTGGGCGGGTGCCCTGTTGACGTTGTTGGGGACACTGGGGCATGGCCACTAGGTAACTCGAGGGGATGGAAGACCACGAGTGTCGATGAAGCCCCCTCGCACTAGGCCAGGTGTCCTTGGCCCCCCCTCCTGCCTGGAGGCACTCGCAGCAGCTCTGCGTACTAGGCCCAAGTGTCCTTGGTCCCCCCGCCTGGAGGCACACACAGCAGTTATGCTGAGAATCTGCAACAATATGTTGCAGAGTCAGACTGCCTGAAACTAAGCAAGGCCAAACAGGGGAGATATGGAAGAACAATGCTGAATAAAGCAGCTTTATGTATAGTTTAACAAATGATACAGAGAATCAGGGAACTAGCTGGGAACTGGATTGGCTGGCTATATGGATACTTGGGGCAGCTTGCTATTGGATAAGTATGCTGGGAAAAAGGATGTATAAAAGCCTGTGTAACTTCCTGCTCTGTGTGCAGGATTTGAGATTTTATTCTCCCTGTACCTTTTTGGGATAGCTCAGTGGTTTGAGCCTTGGCCTACTAAACTCAGGGTTGTGAGCTCAATCCTTGAGGGGGCCATTTAGGGGTCTGGGGCAAAAATTGGGGATTGGTCCTGCTTTGAGCAGGGGGTTGGACTAGATGACCTCCTGAGGTCCCTTCCAACCCTGATATTCTATGATTCTCAGCAGCTGCAAATAAACTTTTCTGCTTCTCCACCCCATTGTGATTATTGGGTGTAGCACACCGGGTAACGAACCAACTCAAGCTGTTTTCAGCCTCTCGGCACTGGGTGCCGGCAGCAACGTGGAAGGGGAGCAAGCATGTAGGTGCTCTGTTGAAGTGGGGCTTGGGTGCCAGCTCAGCAGCACTCTCTGCACAGGGGCTGCCTGTCTGTGCTTGTCAGCAGGGAAGGTTGCATGCTGCTGGGGCTCAGTTTGCCATATCATGCCCCCTCCCCCGCACCTGTCACCCTCTTCCCACAGTGACTGGGCAGAAGCCAGGGAGGAACTTTCAGACCAAACCATTTCCGTAGAAGGGGATTATTTTGTTTAAACAGCAAACTGAGACACTTTGGCACGTTTTGGGATACCAGCCTCTAGCTAAAGTATTTTGCAGCAAATTCTGAAGAGCTAGATGGATTTTGCGCACCTGCTCCTCTTCCCCCCCTTCTCTACAATGGTACGTCCCACTCCTCCTCCGCCCCCTCCCGTCCTCCTACGAAGGACATTTTGGGCAGTTGACGGGAGGAGCTGCCATTGGCGGGTGCGAGGGGGAGGGAGTGGGGGTGGGGCCGCAATGCTCCTGGGCGAGGGGGAAGTGCAGTGAAGCAGCGGCGTACGCGCAGAGGCCTTACCCGCCAAGGGCAGTTGCTCGTTTTCCCGCCACTTCCTGCCTCCAACCGCTTTTAACTGCTGCGTGGTTTAAAAAAGCCGGTTTAATGAGAGACTAGCCCCCATATTATTTGGGGTGATACTAACTCTGCCCCATGTCAGTCTTGCCACCAAATATCAACGTGTGTGAAATTCACCTCACGCGGCGCCAAGGTACAGCCACCATTTTGTGAGGGGCCATTTGTGACTCAGTGGCGCTGTCAAACCCAATGGAGCAACTCCCCCGTCTACCCTATACACACACACGCTCCTAAAATCACCAGGGAGCTTACCCACAAACCCCCATTGTGTCAAATCAAGGATGAGCGAGGTACCCGTTTTGGTGCATGGCATGCTTATACTATGCCAAATTTGGCGATGTTGGCTCATGCCAAGCCATTGTAGATGGATGCCCTAAAGAGGCCACTTCATGGACCAAGAAAGACACTGGTGTCAGCCACTGGTGTCACATTAACAGACACAAGTCCCAATATTGCCATGGGATGAAACCCTGTTGGACATATAAAAATCCACCATATGGACTCATGCCTGTAGTCCACTGGCAAACACCAAATGCTCAACAGGAGGAAAACATTGTCTCCCAGCCACCTTGACCCTGCCGCCTTCACAGAAGAGGGGATAGAAACTAAGAGTCCTTACCCCTAAGCTCCATTTCTCTCCCACACTTGGAACAGAACCCAGGAGTCCTAACTGAGCCCCACCCTGCTCTAACACCTTGGTATTAGTACAGGCTAAACCTGCATTGGTACACTACAGCAAGGGCTCTCAACCTTTGCAGATTACTGTACCCCTTTCAGGAGTCTGATTTGTCCTGCATATCCTCAAGTGTCACCGCACTTATAAACTCCTTGTGTACAAAATCAACTAAAAATACAAAAGTGTCACAGCATGCTATTACTGAAAAAATGGGGAGGAGAATTGACGCTTAGGTTAGTTCAAAGGCTATTTGGGGAAACTCTGTGCCCATTTTAGTGGCCAAATGGGGGATTTTGGTTGCCACCACTTTTGAAAATTGGGTCATTTTCTCATCACAGAGGCAAGAGGCTTCTGAAGAAAATATCTAACTGGTGATTTTGATGTTGCATAAAAGTGTCAGTGTTTCCACTTCAGACTATAGAGTGGAATTTTCAAAGCAGCCTAAGGGAATTAGATGCCTGAATCCCATAATTCCATGGGAGTTGGACACCTAACTCTCTTAAGCCCCTTTGAGAATCCCAGCCTGCATATTTATTTTGCTCTATAGGTTTGCCGTGTTGAGTGGCAGATTCTTGTCCACCAGGTGGTGAATGTTTTGGAGGCAAGACCGTTGCTGTTGGCTCCATTAAAATGTCCATGTGTGAGGACATGTTGCTGTGCAATTACCGCAAGTGCCGTGTCAAGCTCTCCGGCTACGCCTGGGTCACAGCTTGTTCACACATCTTCTGCGACCAGCACGGCAGTGGGGAATTCAGCCGTTCACCAGCAGTCTGTCCCGCCTGCAACAGCACCCTCTCTGGCAAGCTGGACATTGTTCGCACTGAGCTAAGTCCCTCTGAGGAATACAAGGCCATGGTGTTGGCTGGACTGCGGCCAGAGATTGTGCTGGACATCAGCTCCCGCGCATTAGCCTTCTGGACATACCAGGTAAACCCATCTCAGATGATGTCCTAAATTAGGTAGATACCTTCAAATCTGTCTTTGAAAATATAATTGGGAAGAGATTTTGTTTACTAAAGAAATGAAAGAGCCAATAATCAGTCTTTATGGATGTCTATATATCATATGTGGAGGGCAGAATTGACACCTAGGTGATTCCAAAGGGCCACCATGTTATATTTTTTGGCCTGAAAATGTGGAAAGAAACCAAAGGGAATGGAATAGGATTAAGGAATCATAAAATATCAGTATTGGAAAGGACCTCAGAAGGTCATCTAGTCCAACCCCCTGCTCAAAGCAGGACTGATCCCCAATTTTTGGCTCAGATCCCTAAATGGCCCCCTCAAGGATTGAACTCACAACCCTGAGTTTAGTAGGCTAATACTCAAACCACTGAGCTATCCCTTCCTGACCCCCTGCATTGTTTGATTTTGTCGTGTGGCCTACGGACCACTGAGACGGTTGCCACTCACACTCTGGTTCAGAATCACCAGTGTGGCATTTGCACTTCTCCCTCCCTCCTTCTCTATTCAACAGTCAGTATAAAACGTTATTGCTCTGTTAGCCATGCCGTTCTTTCTCATCTGTCACTGTGGAAGGTTCCCTCCATGTTTGCTGATGATTTTTGTTACACGTTCCTCTTTTCTTTCCTCTCACCACAACAGTGTAAAAGCACCTCACAAGCATTCATGAATTATCCTCAACCCCTATGAGCAGTAGGCCAGTATTACTATCTCCATTTCACATGTAGGGAACTGAGGTATAGACATTAAAGCAACATAAGTGTCCACTCATTTTTAGGTGCCTCACGTTTGAATACTCAAAATGAGAGCTATATGACCTGATTTTCTGAGATGCTGTGCACCCCACAGCTCTTATCAGCTTCAGCTGGTGTGTGGAGTGCTCAGTACATCTGAAAATCAGTCTATAGGTGTCTTATGTTGGCCACCTTAATTAGTGGTCCCTATTGAGAATATTGACTTAAGTGACTTATCCAAAGTCACTAGTCTGGAGCAGCAGTGGGAACTGAACCCAGATTTCCTAAGTCCCAGTCCAGTGCCTTAACTCCAGACCATCCTTCCTTTGTTGCACTGTAGTCATGCCACTATATCTGAAATAGAGTGACTTGACTTTCCTCTGACAATCAGTGGTCAAAGAAGCCTGTCACACCTGCCATAACCTCCGCATTGCAGGTTCACCAGGAGCGCCTGTACCAGGAATACACCTACAGCAAGGCCGAGGGACACCTGAAGCAGATGGAGAAGGTGTACACTCAGCAGCTGCAGAGCAAGGACATGGAACTGACTTCTATGAAGAGTGAGGTCTCCTCCCTGAAGAAGGTGCTGGAGGAATACAAGAAGAAGTTCAGCGAGCTCTCGGAGAAGCTCATGGAGCGCAACCGCCAATACCAGAAGCTCCAGGGCCTCTATGACAGCCTCCGCCTGCGCAACATTGCCGTGGCTAATCAGGAGGCTGCCCACGAGCCTCCCATGATGCCTCAGCCTGTGATCTTTGGCTTCCCATTGGGTAAGACCTGTGGGGGGTTCTCATTCCACTACTCACAGAGAACGCAAAAGCTGGCATAAGGAGTCACTACACTGACACTGTTAGTGGAGGGGACAAGGATTTAGTGGGCTAGAAAGACTGAACTTTTCTTCCATGCCATAGGGCTGGAGGAGGCACATATGTGTGTGTATGTGTTTGGAGGAGGAGGACTTCACACAGAGCAGTCAGTCTCCAAATGCTACCATATCAGCAACTTCCAAATGCTGTGAAATATTTGATTAGACACTTTTGTGTGAGACAAGTTGATAGGGTCCCAGCTGGGACAGTTGTCCACCTTACAAACCTCTCTCACACTAACAGGCCCCCTCCTTGGCAGCCTCTGCAGAGATGCCAAGGACTGAATGGGCCACGGAGATTAAGCTCCTTTTCCGACCCCTTAGAGAGATTTCTCCAGAAAATGGGTTAATTCATGTTCTGAATCCCAAAGCTTTGAACATCCCTTGTAACTTCTCCAACCTTAGCTAGCTGTGTGGTGTCACCAACCCATAAACTTTACTGTGAGTCTCTGGATATTTGATGTGTTTTAAAAAAAGGATAAGTTTCTCATGGTTGCACAGAAAAGAGGGAAATTGTGACCAATAAATGCTACAGAACCAGAAGGAAAATTTCTATAGAACCTCATGATTTTGTAAGCAAATCTCATGAATTTTGGGGACTGGACTCTTGAGCATTGGCATTTGTCTCTCTCTAGTGGCTGCTATCTTACCATCAAAAGGTTTACGAATCCAGGCTAGTGAATTAAGGCTTAAGTGAGTCAGGCCTACAAATCCCACCATTTCCTGTGACAATCCCAACCTTCGCCCCTGCACTTAAATCAAGCTGTGGCCACTCATGGTCTTAGATTTGGAGATTCTATGTTCAATCCCCAGATTGTCTCACTAGTGTAGTCACTAATGTGTATCCTAATAGAGAATCCAGCATCTAACTGACCTTGTAACTCCCCTTTCCTAGGTAATGCTGCCAGGTTCCCCGGGGACACCACGCCGGTCCGGGGCAGGTGTGGGGAGGGAGACTTCCACTTCAAACCCTTCTTTGCCACATCCCCACCTGCGGGCGAATCTGGCAACAGCTTCTTCACCTTCTCCTCTCCCAGCAATGAGCTGGAGCCTCACCCTGGAGCCAGCAGGACCTACAAGATGAAGAGGATGTAACTGGTAATGCACCTTTCACACCTGCCTCTTGGAAATTTAGCCCATATGTCGGTGGGGGAAAAAGCAAAAATGCTTATTGTCTGGGACTGGGATTCTCCTCAGACTTGGGCTATTTCTTTTAGGTATTGTAATGTAATCACCCTCTGATTGTCACCTGCAGATTGTCTTGCCCTCTCATCCTAGTCTGTAATGTCCTGTCACTTCTGATTGTCAATTTCATTGTCACAACCTCTCACCAACAGACTGTCGCCCTCAGACTGTAAACCTCTCTCACCCTTGGATTGTCCCTCTCAGACTGTAAAATTGACACCCTCTGACAGTAGTATCCCATCACTCTTGGACCAAGATGATCCTCAAAGACACCTAAATACCTTTGAGGATCTGGGCCTGCTTCCATTGTACTCTGCTTCATGGCTTACACATTTATCACTGTTGTCTCTGTGTGTGAGAGAATGTATTTGTGTGTGTGAGTTTGTCTCTAAGTGTGTACCCTGTTGTGTGTGTTTGCCTCCGTGTATGTATGTGGGTCAAACTATTCATGGATGTGTTTGTACAAGTCTAGATAGTTGTGTGTTGTCAGTGTGTATAAATCAATATGTGTGTTTAAATCTGTGTGTACACAGCTGTGTCTTTTGCTTTTGTGTGTGCATGCAGACATACATGTGGGTAGGTGCCTCTTGCTGTGTGTGTATCTCTGAATGTCATAGAGTGCATAGCTCTATGGGTGTGTACATGCATAGCTTTGTGTAGGTGTGTTTTTGCTTCTATATCTATGCTTGTGTTTCTCCTATGTGTGTGTGTTTCTTGGTGTTATCCAGTGTGTTCCATTGGGTACATTCCATTCCATCCTACCTTTGCAGTTATTTCTCCCCCACTTAAAGTTCATCCGTGTTAATTTCACATTCATTATTTACTCCTCACTTTCACCAGGATTTAAAATCTTTCAGCCCCGCAATGGGAGAAGCAGGGTCAGTTTTGACATCTCACAGCCAATGGATTTGTGCACTGTATAAAGTCACCTCTGTAAATAGGTTGTTCACCCTCTTAAAAATACGATTAGCAAAAAAAGAAAGGGGGAAAAAATGATGTTTTGCATCTTGGTTTCTAGTTGGATCAAGGATCTCTGCAGCAGGGGCGGCGGATAGCACGGGTAGGGTGGGTTGTGTGAGATCAGGGAAGGATCACAGGAGGGAGGGAGGTGGGTGGCTTGGGGAGCACAGGCCAGGTTGCAGGGGAGTGGATGTAAATCAGGGGGAGGTGAATGGCAGGGTGTGCACAACCTGGGGTTACCAGGTGTCCAGTGTTCGACCAGAAAATCTGGTCTGACAGTGTCCAGTCTGAAAACACAGATCAGACTCCAAGAGTCCAGTTACCACCTGCAGGGGCACCAGAACAGCTGGGGCCAAGGAGGCGGGCTGGTGGGCAGGGAGGCGCTGCAAGGGGATCGAGGCACAGAGCCAGCAGCGGGGAGCAGCAGCCAGCAGCCATGCCCCCCATTACTTCCCACAGTGCATGCCCATGACAGAGTCTCCCTCTCCAGCAGGCCACATCCTCTAGTGGCAGCAGCATCAGCCCCGCTGCCAGATCCTGTCTTGCACAGGCGAGTGGCCGGGGCAGGACGCGTTTCCCCCCCCTTCCCGCCCCCCCAGCCTCCATGGCGCTCAGGGGAGACTGCAGGGAAGGGGGTTCACGCTCAGCCCCAGTGGGAGGATCCCTGCTCCCCAAGGTGGAGGGGCTCTGCTGGCCCCCCTGGTGGTGGGAGAGGGCTGCAAGTAGCATTTCACTTTGCTGCCAACCCCCTCCCACCCTCCGCATACACAGCCCAGAACCAAGGTGTACCCAGCCAGCCCCTTCAGCGGCTGGCTCTGAGCCTAACTCTCCTTCTCGGGCATGTACCCCGTCCCCTCCCTGCAGGACCTAGAGCCAACTCCCCTCCCAGGAGAAACACGGAGACCATAATCCGCCCCCATCTCCGGATTCCAACACTGTGGAATTACTATATGCTGCATCCTCACCTCTCATGTATATGTGTGTTGGGGGTGGGGGGGGAGGGGGCGCTGGAGGTTTAGCTCAGTAGAGTCAGTATCTCTATTTCTCCCTACATTTTTCCCCACAATCATGTCTTAAAGAGGGTGCTCAATACCCCCTGCTTTGTTGGGGTTATTATGGGAATTGCCTAGTTGAGCTGTGGAACTTTTTCTCTGTACAGCACAGAGATCTCTGTGGAGAGGAATGTTTCACCTAATCTAAATGTGATTTTGGTGAAGGTAAGGTTAAGATTGAAAGAGGGGGTAGGAAACATGCCACTTCAATAATTCCTGCTTTGGGGTTTAGGTGTTTTTGTTTTGATTGGAGAGGAGAGGAGTGGGGGGGGGGGGTAGAACCTTGGGGAGGAGGTAGAGCCTCAGGGGGAGTGGGCGGAGGCAGGAGTGTACTGTTTTCAGAAATTGGAAAGTTGGCAGCCCTAGGTGGGCAGCGCAGCCTGGGGTAGGGTCATGTCAGAGAGCTTATTCCTTTGCTCTCCCACTTCCCTCGTCCTTCTCGCATGAACAGAGAGCAACAATACCCGCAGTCTGAAGGTGCAAACAATTCAATGTTTATTGTGGTGAACTTCCAGCAAGCTTAAATCCAAGTTCCTTTTTCCTCATTTTCGAATCCCAACTTACTTCCTGTTTGCCCCTAATTTATATATTAATATTCTTAGCTATACCTTAACCAATCATTCTACTGAAATTTACCTAACCAATCCTAACATATAACATGATTATGTAATCAATTATATCCCACCACCTTAATTAGTTTACACCCAGCAAAATTAATTATACAGCAGACAGAAACAATCACAGAACCAGACAGAGACCATGCAAACAAACAGTAGCAAAGTGGGAACTATAATGACAAAACAATACAGAAGTGAGGATTTCACAACTACATCCCAGCTGTGTCTGTTGATAAGTGAATTCTTACCAGACAGAAAACTATCAATCTAAATTTCCTTTTACATGTTCTAGGCTCTTCCCTTTTTCTGGAGGTGATAGATTGGATCACCTTCCGAACAGCCCTATATTGACTAGTTTGGAATGTGAGGATGTGACGAAATGCTTCCCAGCTTATGGCTGCCTCTGCTGGTTGGCTAAAGGCCTTAGCCTAAGAACAGGGCCTCAGACTGTCACAGTGAGAGAAGGCCCTTACACAGATTCTTTGTATACCTCTATACAAATATATTGGGGGTTGGACTAGATGACCTTCTGGGGTCCCTTCCAACCCTGATATTCTATGATATTCTATGATTCTATTACTAGCTAAATGATAAACATATACCTAAATTCTTAAAGTATAGGCCTTTACAGGCAGGTCTGAATATCTATATCCTAACACATCATACCTGCTAATATTTCAAGTGGCTGAAGTTGGATGGGTGCTGCTTGCAGGGGAAAGGAGGCCTGGGGATGTGGGGGCTAGGTGCTGCCTGGGGGTGGGAGCTGCCCCCAGAGCGGGTGGGTGGCTGGTGGGGTGGGGTGGGGAGGTTGCAGGGGAACTGCATACTTCCCTACAGTGACAACTCCTGTCCTGTGGGGGATGGCTGGACTAGGCTCCTCAGTCCAGGTGTTGTGCTCTGGCTCCTGCTGTATGGAGTCACAGCAATGTTCATGTTTGGCCTGGCTGTGTCCCCACTCCCCCGTCGACGGGGCCAGGCTAAATATGAGCATTGGTTCCATGACACTACACCCCATATTCATCATGAGGGGATGATTATCATATAAAATGACATAATTACGATCTTGGCTGTAGCCTCTCTGTTGTTGTTGGTTCATGCAGCGGTTGGTCACCCTGCATGTAACTGAGTGTCCCTGCCTGTTCAAATGCTGGTGAGAGTGTAAATCTGGGAGTGGTCTACAGCTTGTCATAGCAGCATAGTGTAAGAGGGAGCCCAGGCTGGTGGGTCAGAGGGCTCAGTGGCACCCCAGAGGGAACTCACCACAGCTTCAACCCCATGCACCAGGAGTTAGGGCACAACGCCTGGAGCGGGAAACTGAGCCCAGCAAGCCCCACAGGACAGGAGCTGCTTCAAATGGGACATGGGGGTAGGTGTCAAAGCAGGACAGTCCCACAAAACCCAGGACTGTTGGGAGGTCTGTAGGGCTGCCACCTCTGAGATACAAAAACATGGGACAGCCGCAATGGTCCTGAGACCGTCACACTGGACAGCTGGCAGCACGTACCAGGCTCCCAGACCATTGGCGCTGACCACAAGTTACCTTGGCCTATTGTCACAGAATAGTTCAGGGGGAGCTAGTCGTGAACTGACTTTTACAGGCCAGGCTGGCTTGCAGCCACTCAACTGGATAAACAAGTAAAGAGAGAAGGAAGGCCAGAGAGTGTTGAGTGTGGGAATAGAGTGCAATAGTGTTTCCTGCCAGAGCTTGCTTGTGGGTGAATACAACACCCCCCCCCCCCCCGAGAAAGAGATGGTGATAAAAATGACTATGTAAATTGCTTTAGATGAACAGTCTCACCTGCAGACCCTGGTCTTGTGGGTGCCCAGGAATTCCCCACGTTGGAGCAGCGCTTGCTACGAGCCCTCAAGGACAAGGCTGGAAGGTCCGGGACCGTCCATAGCAGAAGGGGCGTAAGCATTGATTCTTGCTTGCTTGGTGGAAAGCACGTATTTAGTAACACATGAAGGCTTATTATACTTTGGCAATAAAACCGGTTATACTTACACACCTGGTGTGGCTTCATTGAGTGTATCTGAACCCCCCCCCCCCCCCCATATTTTGGCTCGACACAGAGAGACTTCCCAGGGGAGCTATGAAGGGATGATCCTGGGAAAAAATGGGCAGGTGGCAACCCTAGCAGGGCATGGAATTAAAAAGGGATCCCAGGAGGGGTTATGTGTGTATGGGGGGAAGGAATGCAGGGGCTGTGTAGGATGTTCCAATACAGGAGCTGTGGGGGGGAGGGAGAAATCAGGGCTGTGTGTGTGTGCGTGCAGAGCAATG